AAAAAAAAAAAAAAAAAAAAAAAAAAACCATGAAGACTATGAACAATCTTGAAGGGGTGAATGCCCTGAACGACCTGAAAGCAACCCCTCCTTTGACTCTGACCATTATGAAAGGGTGAAAGCCTTGAAAGCCCTCGCACCTCCATTCAACTCCCTGCTTTCAGACCACCGAAGGCATTTACCTCTTCAGGATCGTTCACGATCCTCAGCGCTTAACAGTGGGAGCCATAGGGTGGCGGGGGGGTGCTTTCAGGCCTTCAGGGCATTCACCCCTTCAGGATGTTTCACGGAACAAAAAAAAAACGATAATAATATTAAAGACGATGAACAATCCTGAAGGGGTGAATGCCCTGAACGGCCTGAAAGCAACCCCCTCTTTAGCTCTCACTATCATGAAGGGGTGAAGGCCTTGGAAGCCCTCGCACCTCCATTCGACTCCTTGCTTTCAGACCACCGCAGACATTCACCTCTTCAGGATCATTCAGGATCCTCAACGCTTAACAGTGGGAGTCACAGGGTGGGTGGAGGGGTGCTTTCAGGTCTTCAGGGCATTCACCCCTTCAGGATGGTTCACGGAAAAAAAAAATAAAAAAATCATGAAGACTCTTAACAATCATGAAGTGGTGAATGCCCTGAACAACATTCACCTCTTCAGGATCGTTCAGGATCCTCAGCGCCGGGGGGGGGGGCTTTCAGGCCTTCAGGGTATTAACCCCTTCAGAATGGTTCATGAAAAATAAATTAAAAAAAATAAATTCACTATGAACAACATCTTGCACCCCAAGCTTTCACAATTGTAAGCTATGATTCATCACGTACAAACATGAATTCAAACTTGAAAAACCACTTAATTTTTCTCGCTTTCAGAATATTCATCTGTGAATATTCATCTATGTGATAACCACTTGTGTTGGTCGAGGATTTTAAGAAAAAGGCAAGGAAGGTCCCGGGGATCTCGGAAGAGGAACAGTGTGCCATCTTTCTCGGAAATCCTTGGAGACCCAGGGTCTCACAAGCAAAGGAGGAGGAGGTGAAAAGCTTACCTGGGCTACGATTGAGAAAGGAGTGCAGGAAGGTGGCTTGGACGAGGTCCACCAGTTCCAAATGCGCCAGCACAGGAAGAAGCGCAAGGAACGGGATGCGGGGACAATGGGAGCCCCAGATATGAAGAAGGTTGTATCGGATATTCTATCAGAGTTGGGGATTACTAAAGACCAGATGGAACAGAGGAAGGTGGTGACCATCGTTTAAGGTCGGGGGAAAGAGGGTGTAGGAGAGGAAGTTGGGCAGGAAGACTATGGCAAGGAAGAGATGGGATCCCAGACCCTCACTAAGGCGCATCGCAATTTATTGCTAGGAGGGCAGGACTCTGGAAAAGGGCAGGTCCCGCAGACGATTGTAACACCATCGCCCAATGTCGCCGGCTCGTCTATGTCGGCCGTACCTTCGCAAATGGGGTCACCATTGCCATATGGACAGTGGCCGCCCTTCTTCCCAATGACACCCTGACCCATGTGTAACCCCTACAACTCATTGGGAGGAGGCCAAGTTTCCCCAGGACAGATAGTGCCCTATACGGGCTTGCCGGTGAGTGCAGGGCCACCAAGCTTTCCGGCGGCTCAGGGGCAATTTGCAGCCCAGCATCCACCCACGCAGCAAGCATCGCAGGCTAGCGTGGCAGGAGGGGGGAACCAGGGACAGGGTGAACAGGGGAATGGTGGCAGAGGCCAAGGTGGACGAGGAGGTGGCGAAAGAGGACAAGGGCGAAATGGCGGAGGCCGTGGTGGAGGATGGAATGGCCAAGGAGACCAAGGCGAAGGCAACCAAGGCGGTCAGGAAGGGGGCCAAGGATATGGAAGGCCCCGCTTTGATTGGTGGAATGCCATTCGCCGACATTGTGGCATTATAGGTCACACTATACGATTTTGCCAGCAACGGCGGGATGACGAACTTTCTGGGCTGATTTTCACCAACATGGATGGGGACATATACGATAAGTTCGGGAAGTATATTGAACCAAAAACTCTGGGTGGAGTAAGGCAAGAGGCCCTTAGGCGAGCAGAGGTAGGACCAACACCCCCGACCATGTTCAGGCTATGGCAAGAGAGAGAGGACCCGACCGTAAGGATTGAGGAGATCGTGGAGGAGAGTGAAGAGGTGACTCAGCGACTAAAGGCAGGGACTGAAAAGGAAGAGTCAATCGTCGTCGAGTCGGATGATGAGGAATTGGGAGAAGTGAGAGAGTCGGCCATAACAATCTTGGAAAAGATGGAGGATTTGGTGGAAAAGGTGAGTAGGTACCAGCAAAGATTGAAAGACTTGTGTGATGAGACCCAAGAATGGAAGACCAACCTCCCTGGAGTCTTCCTTTATGAGTTCGGACCTGGGCCGACATCAGGGCATCAGAGGTATCCTGGGGGTGCGACGGTGGGGTCAGGCCCCAGGTATAGGCCCCCCACTTCGCATGGAAGAGTGCCACAGACGGCATAAACCAGAGGCCAGAGCAAGGCTGGTACCAGTCAAGTGCCTAACCAGGCGCCTAGTCAGGCGCCCCCTCGAAGGGAACCTGAGCCCGAGCGCAGGAAGCAAGTGGTGGAGGTCCCCGAAGAGGAAGAGGAGGATGATGATGAAAAGGATGAGAGGCTCCGACAACAAGAAGATTGGCGAGCAGAGCTAAGGGCCAGGAAGAGAGGGGCTCAGGAGAAAGTCGAGTTGAGCCAGCGCGATAGCATACCTAAAAGGAAGAAGTACGTGGTTCCGTTAGAAGAGGGCTTCGACGTGGAAAGAATGGTGGACAGACTTCTAGAAGGTTATAATGACCTTATGAACCTAAAGGATATTCTGGCGTCTGCCCCAAGGCTCCGAGATAGCTTGAAGGGACGACTATCGCGGAGGTTAGTGCCCAACGTCCGTCTGAGTACAATCCTGCCAAGAGAAGTGGAGTGGACGGAAGCAGGAACGAGGATGGACTGGAAATATGTGGCGTGTGGTTTGGTGGACTTGGTGGTGAGGGACCAGAAGTGTGCTGCAATGGTGGATACAAGCGCCGAGATGAATATCATCCGGGAAAGGGATGCGATTATGTTGGGATTGAAGGTCGACCGCTCCGACCACAGGGTACCTCATAGCGTCAATTGCAAGGCGGTCTTTTGCGGCACGGGTCCAACGTGATTGTGGAGATCGGCAGAGTACGGGCGAGGGCGTGCTTCTTTGTAATGCCAGACGTTGATCATCCTATACTCTTTGGGAAATCGTTCCTGTGCAAGACAAAGACTCTGATTTTTAATAAGCACTATGGGGCGATGATCCTGCTGATAAGTGATCCAGCCTGTGGAAATTATGAGGTCATCACCTGCCGGAACACAGGGGCATGGAGTGGGAGGAATAGGCCTAACCTCGACTCGTTCACTTATGAGGAATCCGAGAATGAACGACGAAGGCTCTGGGAGGCGCCTGAGGACAAAAGAGAGGCCGAAGTGCTGTCACTGAGCCTCACTGATGTGAATAAGGTCATAGAAGTGGTGGCGGCGCATGATATGGCAGACTCGGAGGCAATCAAGGCGCTGAGAGAGAAGGGAAGCTGATAATTGGAGAGTCTGACTTCCTTTCACGTCAAGAGAAGATTCTGATGGTAAAATTAATGAAAAAGAGGCATCGCGCATACGCTTTTAATGATGATCAGCGTGGGAGGCTGGATGTGGACAAAATCCTGATGATTCGGATTCACACCGTCTCACATGAACCATGGAATCTAAGAGGCGCGCGATATCCTGACCCTGACGAGGAAAAAATGGTGGTGGACTACCTGGATGGCAAGATGCGCACGCATGTTGCTGACTACTCCAGCGGACCGTATGCTTCCCCTTGGTTTTGCTTCGTTAAGCCGAATGGGATGCTGCGGTGGGTACATGACTTGCAACGGCTAAATGTCGTAACAGTGCGAGATGCGGGGTAATTGCTAAACGCGGACGCACTGTCAGAATCATGCGCAGGGATGCCCATAAATTCGCTTATAGACCTCTATTCTGGATACGACCAGTTTCCTGTATACCTGCCGGATAGGCCAGTGACAGCAATGCATATGCCACGAGGGCTAATTCATATGAATGCAGCCCCTCAAGGTTGGACCAATGCAGTAGCAATGGTGCAAAGACATATGATTAGAGTCATGCAGACGGTCAGTCCACACATCACCCTGCCTTATATTGATGACTTGGCGGTCAAAGGCCCGAAAGAGAGAGAGGAAGACAAAGTGATGCCTGGAGTAAGGCGTTTCGGCTGAAGGCATATTCAAGACCTTGATCAGGTTCTGAGCCTACTGGAAGAGTACAACCTTACAGCAAGTGACCCAAAATCCAAGCATTGCATGAAGGAAGCTACCATCTTGGGTTTTGTCTGTAATGAGAGTGGTCGGAGGCCAGATGGGAAGAAAAGAGACAAGATCGTCAAGTGGTCGGTACCCTTCGGCTCGATAACGTATGTGAGGAGCTTCCTCCGGACTTGTGGATTTTGGAGGAGTTTTGTGAAAAACTTTGCCGCCAAGACTGAGCATTTGCGGAAGCTGGTGCGTCAGAATCAGGAATGGGTTTGGGATACGAGGTTACAGAGGTAAAGTCATTTATACTAATCGAGACGGACGCTGGACCAACTGCCCTAGGAGGAGTGCTGGTTCAAGCAGATGCTGAAGGAAAGGAGAGACCGCTAAGATTCGAGAGTCGGACGCTTAATACGACTGAGAGGAACTATTCCCAGTTTAAAAAGGAGACCTTTGCGGTACTCCACTGCATGAGGATCTTCTGAAACTATATCTATGACATGAGGTTCATATTGAGGGTGGACCCCACTGCGCTCGCCTGTTTCCTGAAGAATTATACTCCATCTGACCCAACCGTCGCAAGATGGTTGATGTACATTGGCATGTTTAATTTTGAGCTGGAAAGAATTATGGGGGACAAGAACAGGGCAGATGGCTTGAGCCGCATCAACTGGGACAGGCCAGATCAGGAGTCGGTAAAAGACACTCCATCAGTTGATGGATTTTTGGACCAGGAAGAGGACGTTCGCCTCCATATAAACGAGTGGTCCTTGCGAGTGCCTAATTGTGTTAGTCACCCCATATGGCTAGTGCCTAGGGGGTACGAGCAAAAGGCGGAGTTAGTCCTCAAACCCTTTCAGGAGGACGACCCATGGGGAGGCAAGGACGTTCACTGGATGATGAAATTGGCGCTGGCGGATACACATAGTTTGGCGGAAGAAGTGAGGACGATAGAGGAGGGTCCTACTCTGGTGGAGGAGCATGAGCAGCTGATGGGAGGAATGTATCTCCTTACGAACACGCTTCTGCAAGGGGGTTTCGATCGAAGAGGCTCATTGAATCCGACTGAAGGGTGCCTGAAAGTCAGGATGATGAGTTTGAGGAAGGAGAGATCAAGGAAGTTTTTCGTGCGGAGGAATATGACGGGATCTACCTTGAATTGGGGCTACTCCTGTCGTGTGAGATGAGGGACAGAGATGCAAGTGCTAAAGCACAGAAGATGAGGCATCTCTATGTGGTAAGAGATTGTCAATTGTTTATAAAACGACAAGTCGAGAATCCCAAGCGGATTGTATGCGGGAGGAACCGACAGATCGATATTATCGCAGCATTGCACGATGGTATAGCAAGAGGACATAGAGGAGTAAATGTCACGTACGCTAAGATAAGCGAGCTATATTACTGGAGTGGAATGTTGTACATGGTCATCAAATACTGCCAGTCCTGTGTACCTTGCCAGGAGAGATCGGCGCAGAGGCCAGGGGAACTCCTACACCCAAGGTTGGAGAGAGAAGTGGGCGCAGTCGTACATCTAGATCTACTCTTCATGCCAGTTGGGGAGAATGGGTATAATTATATCTTCGATGCGCGAGACAACCTTACTAGTTCGTAGACGGTCGGGCCATTCGCACGAAGACCGACCCAGTTTTGGCAAGTTGCATTGAAGAGTATTACCTACGCTACCCTTTTGTCAAGGAGTTCGTGATGGATCGAAGATCGGAGTTCACTTGCAAAGAGGTGCAAACTTTGCTTACAGGATATGGCGTAGTGGCGAACTATACTGCTGTCGAATATCCACAAGCGAACGCACCAATGGAAAGGGGGCATAATACTATAACGAATCTCCTAGCTAAGTGGACAGAAGGTAGATCCGGTCAATGGCTGAAGTTCCTACGAGCAACCCTCTTCGTTGAGAATGTCACGGTGAAGAGGACTATTAAGTACGCGCCAACCACTCTGTGGTATGGGAGACATACCACCTTTCCCATAGAAAGCTTCTTAAAAACATGGAGGCGCCAAGACTTGGAGATCAACCTGTCTTTTGAAGAGTTGCTCGATATTCGGGCACGACAGGTGGGCGCTGCTGAAGAAAGGGTACGGGAGGCCTCCAATCAGGTGGAAAGGAGCCGCATGGAGGATAAGATGCGATGGGATTAGATGGCGCGAGTGCGAAAGGAACCATTGGCAGTTGGGGACGTCGTATTGCTGTACGATTCGTCTTTGGAGAAGCAATGGTCGAGAAAACTCGACAAACGGTGGTTGAGACCCTATAGGATCGTGCGATGCGGCGAGTTCGGAGCCTACAAGATTGAGGAGTTGGACGAAACCGAATGGAAGGATTGGGTGTCAGGGACAAGATTGAAGAAATTTGTGGCCAGGGAATAGGTAAATAGCTTTATACTCCTCTGGATAAACCCTTGTCTTAAAGTATCGCATGGCCTGATTAGGCTAGAAAGGAGGAACAAAGGGGTAGGTATGTCTAGGTTAAGTATGTTCCCGCTTTAGATCTGATGGACCTACTTGCTGACTCTACTGTGTGCCTGTTTGCTCTCTCTCGCCTGTTGTGCAGATCTGACTTTTTGAAGACAGTCACGTAGAGGGGCGAGAGGGATGCACGGCTACAGCAGAAACCCTTGCGAGCATCTGGAGGGGATGACAAGCGCGGGCCATTCAGGAGAGAGTCTACGCCTGTCTTTGACAATGATAACATAGAGCTCTTCCTGGACGCCTATCAGGGTTATGCGACACGGAGAGGATGAAACACTTTGGAGATGATACAGAACCTGAGGGGAGTTGGACGTTTCGAGGAGCCTATCGCGCATATTCGTGAGGAGGCATTGACCTGGCCAGATGTAGAGGCGAGGATGCAGAGGCTGAGGGCTTCGCCGATGGGGCGCGATGACCTGCCTATCCGATTGGAGGAAGGCATTGCAGAGGAGTTCATCCCAGCCTACGAACGGTATATGCGCGATCAGGGAATTGTGCAGGAGGAGTGGATACAGACATTGCTCCTTTGGACCAGAAGGGCAAAGAGGCCAGTGGCGAGACAGATCCGGGATAGGGCAAGCGATTGGGAGGACTGTCAGGCTCAGTTGAGACAGGCGTTCCGACAGCCAGAGCCTAAGAGGCCAGAGCCCAGGGTCAAAAGGAGACGAAGGAGTAAGAGGACGAGGGATCCTGAACCAAGGGAGGCCATCGCGACTAGGGGAGGCTGGAAGGCCTTTGCGCGGCGAAAGGAGGAGTCAGTGGTGGCTGCTTAAGCAGTGGAGTCATTCCCTGCTTGTGGACTTTGGCAAGTGGAGTTTCGCTCGATCACCAACAGTGATCTGCAGGGACCGTCGCTGCGATCGTCGAAGCGGGAAGAGGGTGGACCATCAGAGACGCAATTCAGGAGTCTAGTGGCCCATCTTGACGCATCTCAGTGGGGGGTTTCACAATTGAACATCGATCTGGTAGAACCACCAATGGGGGAGCCGCAGGGCCCTGAGCCAGAGGCCAAACCACACGAGCGAGAAGGGCCACAAGTTGAGGAGGTCATTACAGTTAAAGAAAATACTCCTCCTCTTACCCCGGTTCTGAAGTAGGTGTAACAGCCTTGGCCAGAAGGAATTCTTGAACCAGACAGTGGTGAGGGTCCGGTGCCCCCATAGGAGGTTATTACATTGCCCAAACAGATGGCAGAGACGGAGAGGCCAGCAGAGGGGTGGAGAGTTGAGACCCGCACGACTATTAATTCTCGATTAACCGCACACGCGTCCGAGCACCCTGATATTGAAATGCCCACCCTGATTGACTCATCCCTAAGGTTGCCGCATGCTAAGAGAGGGAAGAGTACTGAGACTCCGGCTCGAACGACCCGCGAAGCGCAGACGGGGAGGCCACTGGGAGAAACTGTTGAGGAGAAGTCCGCCAGGGTGCAAGCTCGCCTTGCTCAGATATACGAGAGGATAATCGAGATGAAGGATGTAGGGATAACGCCAGCACCGCCAGTCGATCCCAGGACGAGTGAGCAAAGGATCGACGAGATGTGGGCCAGATACGAGAGCAGGAGGGATGCAGCCCGCCAGAGGTTGCAAGAGACAGGGCAGGCAGACGAGAATGAGGATGAGGCGAGAGAGACAGGAGATTTGGGATTCTCTGCCGCCAGGATGGCAATCGAGCGAGTGGATAGGAGGATACGCCAGGCAGCGACCACATCCTTCCACATGTATACTTTACTCAGCGATGAACTGGCGATCAGGAAAATGGAGGTGGAGTAGCTGACTACTCAGCTTGCAGAAGAAAGGGTTGAGAACCTAGTCTGGAGGAAGCGCATGGAAGCCAAAGAAGTGGAATGGGAGAAGAAGCTCCAAGATATGACGGCTGCAGTAGAGAGGCTTTCAACCACCAAGGTGGTCGATTGGACTGAGCAGAGTAGATACGACATTCAGGGTGAAGGGATGCAGGGACTATTTGGCCAGGAAAAGCCAGCAGAGCCTTCTCAGCAGGAGAAGTTGAAAAAGATATTCCTAGAACCGGCGGAGGCGGAGACAAAGCGGAAGGCTGAAGAGGGAAGCTTCGAGTTCAAGACTCCCACAGAGTTAGCCTCGCAACAAGAGACCCCTATGCCATTTGAGGCTCCTGTTGAGGGGCAAACTCAGGGACCTCAGCCCCCAACCGCGAAGTAGGGGTCTGCGGAGGAATCCCTTGCGATCCTGTTGAAGGTATGGGGAAGTACCCTTACAGGGGCAGTGGCACCTACTCAGCTTGAGGCAGAAGAGAGGGAGGCGTCGCGCTTGGACGAGTTGGTAGCCGCCATGGAGGTGGATATGCCGCTAGAAATACCTCAGAGACTGGATACTCCTGAGCGCGTGCCAGAGATGGGACAGTTGAGAACCCAATTAGGTTCTTGGGCCACAAGAACAGATTCAGGAGGGCATGTCTCTGGGCAGCAGTAGCAGGAAGCCACGAGCCAACCAAGTCGGTTCCTCGTCCTCAGATCCACATGGGAAGAAGAAGAAGAAGTTTCAGAGAAAGTCGGAAAATATGTGCTTCGATTTTCGGGACGGCATGCACAGGGCCCTTGAGTGTCCAAAGTTCCTCGAGGATAAGGCTGCAGGAAGAGTTACTGAGAGGGATGAGAAGATGTACGATAGGCAGGGTAGAATAGTAGAATGGACTGCAGATGGGGGTAGAGCTCAACTGTATAGGCAAAACCAGGAGGAGATGAGTGAGTGGGGACTGGTTTGTCTATGGGTCGGTAGGGTTAGGGCTCTTTTTACATAAAGGATGAGTTAGAGTTGTACATACCCTGAGTCAGTCGTGTGAGTCCTGTCTACTTGTACTTATGTACGCTATGGTACTTGACAGGTTTTGAGGGGTTTTTCTTTTGTATAAATTAGGAATTGACATTCATATTGAATGACATGTGTGAGCACGCAGTTATGTTGTGATTTGTGTGATTGGGATTCATTTGTGTCCTTGAGTATATTGTGTGACTTAGTACTTCAAGGACATGAGCTCTACTCAGATGAGTAGGACAATGAGATCATAATTTGTATTGAGTTTTTGAGAGGGACATTTTGCTCCCGAGTGTATTATAATTTGAGACTTTATGATAATTGTTTTTGCGACGATCGCTATCACTCTCACATGTGTGGCTTTATCCTATTGTGTTATGACTTTGTGTGAGAGATGTGTGGGAAACATCTCATGTGCTTTGTGTTGTGTGAGTGTGAATGTTGTGTATTCTTTGGTATACTCGTGCGATCTGCTCACAGGCGGATGATAGGGTCGAGTATAAGAAGAGACAGTGCAGCCTGTTTATGAAAGATTGTGAGAATCCTATGGGATTTATGAGCCTTCGAGGCTCGGATGCTTTACCATGCCAAATGTTATTGTTGAGTTGTGAAGAGGACCCATAAGTTGGTCTCTTAGTTTGAGTTGTTTATGGTTAAGACCCCTTCAGGTTGGGAAGGTGGTAATATTATCTATTGGAAGACTCATCTTCAAAAGGAAGGTGTTTTAAAAAGGTCGCATAAAAGTTCATCCTAGAAAAGGAAGGGATGACTCTCACTTTTAATAGTTAAAGGTGGGTAAAAAAATTAATGGCATGGAAAACAGGGCTTGAGTTAATAAAGTCTGACGAGACGGACCAGGAAAAACGGTTTGGATTATTGGTGGAACTGAGCATGTCGCAAGTCAGTGCATTTGATAGATGTCATTAGGATGTGTGGTTCGCTGTCTCTGATCAAGTCAGGGGACCACGGCCTTGTGAACCTGACAGTGATTTTGTTTGTGATTGTGAGAAGGGTGTCGTGCTCTCTGTGTTGTCCCACAGGGAGCTGGTAAACACCTTTATAAAGTGAGACAGATCCCTGCGTAGCCCTGCTGTGGGCTTGTGGTCTGTTTTGCGACGCACCGTCTAGACACTTGTGTTAATATTAAGGTATATTGAGGAAGATCAAGCTAAGCGGTAAAGTTTAGCACTGTTAGGGCACAACCCCTAGCGGATGGCTGCTGACCGGCACAACCTGGTGGCGGGCCCACGTCTACCGAAGGAGTAAGAGTTTAAGGGGTATGCACGCCTCAGGGAATTACTCCGGCGGGATGGTGGGGGATACTAGTCGAGTCTGTCGAAGTCATTTGTGTAGTCCTGATTGAATGCTTATCAGGAAAAAGCCTATCGTTGCGTAACCAGCGAGGGCACTTCCGCTAAGATAACAATGCGGTGGGTCGTAGATCTGGCCCCATCAACCAGACTATGGTGGGCCATGATGGAGACCTAGCATTCTTGTACTAGACTGCAGAAAGAGTTGAAATAAAATTATGTGTATATGTGTATATGTGTTTGATTGTGAGGAATTTCGAGAAGAAGGCGGGAGTGTCTTTTGAGGTTTCGATTAAGGTCCGCGTCCCTAGTTATGGCTCTGCTTGCAGGGAAGAGACTAACTGGGACACTCAACAAAAAGTCGGCGTTTGTCTAGGACAAAGGGGAGAGGACGAATGTGAGGGTCTTTGGAACTTATGTTGTAGTACCGATGCGTAGTACACCGGCGTCCTAGTGTCAGGACAATGAAGACCCAGGTTAAAACCCTGGCGGCATATAATTGTGTTGACACGATTTGATGGAGGCCTCAAACATGAGTCTGTCGGCTAATCGGATTGGTTCCTTTCTCGTCAGCATTTGGAGTGTGGATGAATTTTATAGCTTTGTGATTTGGCGAAGCGACGGGGACGTCACTTAATATGGTTCGGTAAGTTGTCGGCGCGAATACCCTGACAAGGGTATCCGCCCTGTGTTTTACAAGCAACAGAAAGTTTGATTAATTCGACTATTTTGGAGTATCGACGCGGAACGCTGTGGTCGACCGTATGCAGACTAAGGATTGTTCGACTAAGAAGCGTGAGTGAGCGCCCAGTTTTAAGGCGCGCGTGTGATTTCTTCCTTTGTATTTGATTGTGAAGCTAACATAACCAAATGACTTGATTTTTATTACTAATTAGACGGGGGATTAAAGGGTTTGGGTTTTGTCTTGCGCGCTTGACCGGCGGTAGGTTTGGCATGCGGGAGGGCGCGCGTGGCCGCGGTGGCGTAGTTGGAGTAAGTCGGCGAGGGTGTTTAACGGTCGCACGCTTGGTTGTAGGCAGAGAATGAGGTCCATACCACTTTTTCTTGGCCCCGAGCGTCGTGCTGCACCGCTTTATGTAGGAGTCTGCGCCCACTGGTCTCAGGCTTGGGCTTAATCCTATAGGTTACGGCATTGGCCTTGTGACACGGAGGTGCGAGGATCGAAGCCAGCGGGCGACAGCGCAGGAGCAATGGAGTGTTGGAGAAGCTAAGGGGTTGAGGGTCCCGCGGGACTATCCCCTTTAGTTCTGCGGGGGAGCCCATTCGCGGGCCCGCTTTGCAGGACCAAGGGTGCGTTGGTACGTCCCGCGGCCTGTTTCTTGTCGGTTGCCCTTTTTTTTCTTTTATTTTTGGGGGGGGGGGGGGGTTATCTTGGTTCGGTGCATGCTCCCATATTTTAGCGGGAGACTCGTTCGTACTTGGCTCATTTGGGGAGTCGAGTCGAGGGGGCACAAGGTAGTGAATCCCGACATGCTGTGAAGGAGGAGAGAAAGTGCGGGAAGAGAGTCGAATGGGGAGTTAATGGAGTGGAGGAAAGGAAAGAAGAAGACAATGTGAGACTAGTCGGGCAGGAGGTACATGTTGACAGTAGCACTGTCTATCTTCTCGAGCGAAGTAGTGGGACGGGGGGGGAAGAAAAAGGGTGAATACTTACCTGCGGGTTGTTCACAGCTGGGCGAGCGAGCGAGCTGTCGGCAGAAAACGAGATGAGCAGAAGTATGGGCTACGGTAGTCTGAGTAGACCGTCTTGTATCTTGCCATGAGGATTGGTCTCTGGGCAAGGACCCCATTTGTACCGGTTGCAATTTCAGCTAAGCTCGAGTTCTGCCGAATTACATCTTTGTGGGGCATTACAGAGGCGCATGACTATTGCACGCGATTGCTGAACGAGTGGCACCGCTGACGGCTGTGTCTCGGCAGCCACTACGACTATCTTTGGGTATCGGTGTTGACAACATTTTGTTGATGTTTGTTGTGTGGTACAGCAACGACTATAGTTCATGACTACCTAATGTTGTAGCGGCTTACAATTACGGCACACTGCAGTACCGTGCCTGGTGCGTTGTGCAAGTTGCAGCAGGCCAACCACGAGAGTGCAGGCTGACATGTGACCAGTGCACCTTGGGTCGTGAGCTCGACAAGGTGGCATAATCCTACTTGTGGAAGAGATTATTGTTGCAAACCAGGAAGTCGTCAGAAAGCTGACCTTGGCGTTTTAACTTCGGTTGACCAAACTGTTTTGGAGTTTTGGCTGTCATTGCGGAGCCCTCAGGCGATCAGAGATATCCACGCCCTCCGAGTCTCACGCGAGTCTGAGAGCACCCTCCTTGGATCTAAGAGACTAAATCTATCTTCTTCTGCCCTTCTTACTCTAAGTCTAGTCTATTGGTTCTGAGAGGAATGCGGCAGGCGGGATTGCAACCCGTAGGTCCGCATCAAGACTCTGTGGGGAGTTAACCCACCGATTGTAGGAGCTCTGTCGGAACTCGGGAGGAGTTCTGGAAGCAGGGAATTGAAAGGTAACCATTGCTCTCCTTTTATAAACCCAGTTATAACCTTTATCTGCACTCCCTGCTATGTTTTGACTAAGTATACTGCATGCATCCCTACTTTGACTTTTTAGTTTGACTTTCATAACACAAACCAGACTAAGTAAAAAAATGCATGTGCAATTTCAGTTTCATTTTTGTTGGTTGTCTGAAAGCAGATTGTGAAAAGGGGTTGCATCAGGGGGAAGGTTGGGAGGAAGGCAGTTTTGCTTGTGTTTGAACGGGTCTTATAGAGCCAGACATTGTTTTTAAGACGAATGGCCTGACTGCTGTGTTTTGTTCTGTTTTTTTAAGGACCAAGCATTGTTTCTTAGATGAATGGCTTGGTTGCTATGTTTATTTACTTTAGCCAGACATTGTTTCTAAGATGAATGGCGTGGTTGTTGTTTCTGTGTGGTATTGATTGTGCAAATTTTGAGGACCAGACATTGTTTCTAAGATGAATGGTCTGGTCGCTGTTTATTTTTTGGTGGTTTCTGAACGTTCTCTGGGTCTTGACCCTGTTTTTTTTTTTTTAATTGAGAAAAGAGGGTTTAACATTGTTTCTAAGACGAATGACTCAACGTTTTTTGTTGTTTTATTCTGAGGGAGGTTCATGCCAAAGATTGGACATTGTTTCTAAGATGAATAGTCTAAGTCCGAGGCCACAGGATTATAATGTGAACAAGGAAAAATGATTTTTTATATGTCTATATATAAAAACAAGGCTAACGAAACATTGTTTCTAAAACGAATGGTCTGACTATAACCTTATCACAAATTAAAATAGTATAACTAAGAGCTATAATTGAAGGTAACTTGGGCCGGCTGAGCATTCTTTCTAAGATGAATGACTCAGTCCTAAGCCCACTTTTGAACATCAAAACTCATAGAGATATATATAACTTTGCTATTTAAACAAATCAAGGCGACTCGGCATTGTTTCTAAGACGAATGGCTTAGTCGTATGCCCAATGAAGAGAGAAGTAGTTGTGCAACTTGTTCGTGTATAATTAAGGCAAAGAGTTGACATTGTTTCTAAAATGAATGACCTAACTCGATGCCCTATGTAAGTTGGATATAAAGGGATAAATCATTGAAAGACAATGAACTATTGTTTGCCAAATGTGACTTGGGTTGGTGAGAGTACTTACCTTTGTGGTTTGACCAGCATGTGACTGAGTGAGATGACTACCAAGTTTGAGTTTCAGTTTGATAGGTAGTTACTTTAGTTGCTCGCCACGTGCTAAAGTCATAGGAGTTAGTTTCGATTCCTGCATTTTCTGAGCTAAGTTTATTTTTACTTAGGTCAATTTTTACATTTTCTGGCATCGTTTATTATACCTGGGCTTGTATAAATCTTGGTAAGTCACTTTCTCTATGAGAAGCGCTACCGAAATTTCTACAAATCCAAGGAGTTAGTCAAATTTTGACTTTTCAAAGTCAAACTTGTCTAAGTTTGTACATGACTTAGTAAAAAGTTGGAAAATCTTCTTTTCTAAAGGGAATGCTGTCCAAAGTTTTACTAAATCAGGGAGTCTGACAAAATTTTGACTTTGAAGAGTCAAAGTTACTCAGATTTGAACTTAGCTTTGTATGAATTTTTGAATAACACCTTTCTAAAGGAAGTGCTGCCAAAATTTCTGCAAACTAAGGAGTCGGTTGGATTTTGTCTTAGTTGAACTCAAGTTTATCTTTTGAGTTCGAATATGAGTTAGTATAAATATGGGAAGTCTCCCTTTCTAAAGAGAGTGTTGCCCAAATTTTTACTAATTTAAGAAGTTAGATAAAAAATTAACCTTCTTAAGTTAGAGATTATTTCGGTTTTATATTTGAGTTTATATAAATTCTGGAAAGACACTTTTCCTACGAGAAGCGCTACCAAAATTTTCTCAGTCTAAGAGGAGTTATAATATATTTTTGACAAGTGAAAATTCCGACAATCCACTCGGTATAGAAGAGATCTTGCCAGGATCTACTTTTCTTTTAGTACTTTACTTAGAGGGAGATTCAGGCTTAGCTAGTTAGGACGATTTTGGTTGAGATCGTGATATGAAAATTATTCTCCATGTAGCCTGGGGATTGGCATGTCTGTGTTACAGGTCCTCTTGATCGTTTGATTCAAGATCAGGGCTAAACTCAGTTTGATCCTACAAGAATCATCTTTTGTTATCACTGATAACAGGTCGGTTGTCGATTCGTCAGCTTACGACTCAACTCCAATTCACCCTCAATTCTCAACCATTAGGCTTTAGCCCTGGTGATTTTATTATTTTATTAATCTTTTCACCTGGACTTTTATTGAATGACCATTTAACAAAGGTACTCGGTATTTAATTAAGGTTGGTTGGACAAAGGTTGGGGCTTGCATGGCTAAAGCGAGGGGTATGAGTATAGAGATTGGTTGAAGTTGACCCCGTGTAGTGCATGGACTTTTGGTTGAATCTTTGATGTGATTGCAGGTATGTTTCGTGGTTCGGATTTGGATTTGACTGTCTGCGATCACAAACATATATATGGCTATGAGGAGTCACACTGTGAATGTGAGAAGTGATCGTCACATACTTTAACCCCCCCTTACATGTATTTATGTATGTATCTATGTTGAGGGTTCGCGTGACTTGTGAGGGCTCACGCCTACAGATTAAATAGGGGTTGAGATTGAGAAAAAAAAAAAAAAACCGTGTTATTGTTGAATGCTTCTTAAAAGATTTCTTAGTCGGACGTTGGTCCTGGACCTGGATTCGAGGTCCTTGTCCAGAACATCCCAGACCGTAGACTCTGCATTGAAGGGATTTTCCTCCGCGCAGAGTCTATTTCCCCTGCCTGTTGAGACACTCAGCCTAAAGGTCGGAGGTGTCGCGGCGACCGTACGACTATTCCCTCAGCCATGCAATATCGTGAAGGGGCGAACCTTCACGATACTTCGAGTCTGACACTTGAGTGCCATAAGCGGTACTCGGATCCACGAGAGACCGCTTGATTATGGGCACTACATAGTACGTCATCATTGCGACTGCTTGTGTATGATTGCATTGCTAGTCGATATGAGTAGGTCCTGCGTCCATGCAATTTTATACTAAGTCTCGCGCACGTCGCCTATCCAATTCTCGCGTCAGAAGGTTATGGGATGGCTACTGAAGAGACTAGGAATGTTGTCGCGTTGTTTATCTGTTGTCGTTTTGTATATGTGCGTGTATGCGTGCGTGTTTTGATTTTTATGTTCTTAGGATGGTGTGCACGTGGTGTGTGGGATGCGTCCTAGTCGACCGACGATGAGTCGCGCTTGGGACCTCAGCCCCCCAAGATGTCGGTTCGCGTGCGGGTTCGATAAAGGCGTAATACCGCGCGTACCCCCTATGCTACAACGAACGAGAAACGCGCTCGGCTGGTCCACCTCTGCGATTGCAACTGACCAACTTTCGTACTGTGGACTGAAGGCTTGGCGGGGATACGCCCAACGAAGGGAGGTGACAACTCCTGTAAGGTGGAGGTAAGTCGTGCCTCTCATAGGCCCTATCCTATCGTAGGGGCTCGCGAGAGGTATGGCTGGCGCACTCGGCCGCAGCGGCTTGCGGAAGCTCCATTATGTATTTGCGACGATGATTTAGACCAACTCCTGCCTGATGTGGCCAGGAGGGTCCCGCGCTGCCTTGTGCATTGCCAGACCGATGCGCTCGACAACATGGTGCACAGAGAGAGAGAGAGAGAGAGAGAGAGAGAGAGAGAGAGAGAGAGAGAGAGAGAGAGTGAGAGAGAGAGAGGAACAAACGAGTGTGGGATCGTGACCTTTCTTTTCTTTTCCTTGTATAAAATTTTGGTTTCAGGCAAAAACCATCTTTCTTATCTCCGATTTTGTACGATGGTGCCGCTTGGTGTGGCTGGGAAACTAATCAGTCTTTCTGGTTGCTTTAAGTGGATCGGCTAGATGATGAACCCTTCGCAGCTTTATCGATGCATGAATGACGGGTTTGCCGAGGGATTGCCTTATGTTATGCCCGAAAGTTGTTTTTCTTTTTCATCTGGTAGTTGCATGACGAACCTTTGGGGAACCACGGGGGCACCTGAAACGACCCATCAACGGGAAGCATGATCTCTCGCACCCGCGTATAAGTACGATCGCAAAGACGCGTCTTCCACGCCCGTCCTCGGGACTCGACCCCGAGGGCCTATGATGAAAACAACCCCTTTTTTATGGGTATCAACGGAAAAATTTTCCTCAATTAAATAATCATTCTATAGTGAAATTACATTCTAAATTTTAAATTTTCATTCTATCTTAAAAAATGTCATTCCAATTTTAAAATTTTTCGTCTTACTTGAAAACTTTCCTTCCAAGAATGGGGTATCCCTTCTTATTTGAACTGCATGTTAGAGATGGAATGAAAGTGTGGGCGAGTTCATGAAATATTTTAATTGGACTGTCATTCTAAGTAAGGATTTTTAGTCATAAATAGGTTAATCCAATCTAAATTAGAAAATATTTCTTGTAGTAGAATGAAAA